AAACAATTTTTTTTTTTTTTTGTCTTTTTTTTTTTGTCTGTCAAAAAAGGATGCTCCAATGTCAGTCACTCCAGAGAAGGGCTGCAAACACTGGTGAAGGAAGATTGAGCCACTTCAGAGGTGCTTTGTCTCGCAGGCTGAGACAGCTCTAGCCTCCACACTTCTGCTCATCTACTGGGGTCAGTGAGGAACAGATTATTCTTCATTGCTTTAAACTAATGGTGAAAAATAAACAATAAAAATAAATAAACAAGGCTAAAAGGTCTCTTTTGCCAACATAGTTTTGCAGCCACCCCAGCTCTACATGAAAACAGTAAAAAGGTGATGAATAACGCAATATTCCTAGCTAGTAGGAGAAGGGTTTGTCTTGTTTTTCACCGGTCTCAAATCCCAGTCTGGCAAGTTATTTAGGGAGGACTCGGGGAGGAGCCACCCTCGGCGGGCCAGTGTGTGTTTGAGTTTCCCTCACAGCAGGTCAAGGCGAGCGTGCCTCCGTGAAGAATAGCTGAACCGGGGGAAATCTGTTCCTCTCAGTTAGGCTGCTGCGTCAGGGAGGCCTGTTTAAGTATGCCAAGGAGAGCTGGTGAGGTCATCAAGAGGCCTGTAGAACTCAACGGGATGAAAAGAAACTTGCATGGAAAACCAGGGAGATTTCTAGCTCTAGAAACCCCAGAACAGGGCGTGTTTTCTCTGCCCGTGGTAGGGGCCTGGACTTCCACCATCAGGGGCTGTGCTTCTGCATATCATCCGTGTGGTGAAAGCGACCAAGGTCAGGCAGCAGGGTTTGTGCTACCTGGCTGTGCTGTGTATGGGGCAGGAACATCCTCCAGAGCAGGAGCCAAGCGCTCTGGGCTGGGGTTCTCTTACACTACACCCTGTGGCTGGCTCTGCACCTTGTGGTGCTGGGCTGGTCCTGCGCTACGACACACATGGGAGACCAGCCAGAACCACAACCTGCAAGTTTTGGCCCCAGACAGTACTGTCCCTCCTCCCCGGATCCCTTGGCCAGCCTTGGCATCCGTCTCACCTCCAGGACAAATTGCTGCCCCGGGTTTTCTCAATGCTCCAGGCAACAGGACCAGAGCAGGAGGAGTGTGGCTGTACTTCACCCTTGGCTTTTTCTTAACGCTACAAGGAACAATTTCCTAGGTGAGCTCCCCTAAGTGATGTCTCTGGCCTTTTCCTCAGCACTGTGCATCCCTTTACACACATGAGCCAGCCTTGTTTAAGCCAGCAGTTGCATGAGGGGTCACCAGCACCTTTGCTGGCCTTCAGAGGGGGATGGAGATGCAGGAAACCCCCAGCTGTGACAGTCCCCCCATTGCACTGCAGCACTGCAGGCAGGTACTCCAACAGCACAGCATCTGCCTAAGTGCTGATCCCAGCTGGGTCTTAGAATCATAGAATGGTTAGAGTTGGAAGGGACCTTAAAGACCATCGAGTTCCAACCCCCCTGCCATGGGCAGGGACATCTCCACTAGAGCAGGTTGCTCAAAGTCCCATTCAGACTGGTCTTGAGCACTTCTGGGGATGGGGCATCCACAACTTCTCTGGACAACCTGTTCCAGTGTCTCACCACCCTCACAGTAAAAAATTTCTTCCCAATATTTACTCTAAATCTCCCCTTTTCCAGTTTAAAACCATTACCCCTTGTTCTGTCACTACACTTCCTGACAAAGACTCCCTCCCTGGCTCTCCCGTAGGCTCCCTTCAGGTATTGGTAGGATAACACCAGTTGGATACTGGTGTTAAAAGCAGGCTACTCGTATGAAAGGTCTGGGGAACCTCAGACGGCCGGAGGGGACAGGGGCCAAGGGGCAGGCTGGTTCTGGGGCGGTGGGATGCCAGGAGGGTCAGCTCTCCTCTGGCTCCGATACAGCCCAGCGGGGTCTGCACCAGCCCTCGCTCTCTGCAAATTCAGTCCTCAGGGATCTTAATCCACTTAATCAGTGGGGATTAAAGGCTGTATTAACCCACGGGTAAATGCAGGGGAAGAATTTCATTGCAGGAACACAGGGCATGCCATTTTGAAAAAGGAAAGTTAACTGAAACCTAATCTGGGTGTAGTTAAGCTGAAGGAAAAGTGCAGGAGCCCGGCTGATGCATTTAAACCTTGAAGGCATAAATTGGACAAGCTTTGTGGAGAGGTGTAACATCCTCTGAAGGCCAGCTGCGTCTGAAAAGCTTTTGAGCCGATGCTGCCTTCTTCAGAGCCTTTGCGGTTACCGACATACCTGTTCTGCAAAATACACAAAATCACCAAAACACACATGGCCACAGCCACACGCAGATCTCAGCAGCGCTCGTCTTGCCCTTATCTCTCCCTGATTTGCATGTCTCTGATTTCTTCATTAGACACATTCTTTTAAGTAAATGAATAGAATCAGTAAATTAATGGACTCAAGCCTGCTGTGTTTTGCTCAATTAATATTTGTTAAAACTCTAGATACCCAAAATTCTCTTTATATTGTCAAACTTGATTAACTGAAGTTGAAGCAAAAAATAGCAATTACATTATATATTCATGGTATGCATCATTATGTACTTTAGCTGATTCCTTATAAATATCTAATAACATACTCAATACATTAAATATTAATTGTACTCTACATACTTAACCCATATTTCTTAAATGAGCTTGTTCCCAGGGGCATATGATATCGTACTAGCATCACATGGGACAGGCCAGGAGGATATCATACATAAAGATGATTTTTCACACAGCACAGATGCAGTTTTCACTCTGTACTTTATTTTGTGTGGTTTTACCTCACAAATATTGAATGGATGTGTTTAAGGTATTTGGATGGAGGCCCTTAAATGGAGCAAGACGAGAGGTAGGTATCTCTGGTGTCAAAAAGGCATAAGCATTCTGGAACAAAAGTCTGGCACCAAAATACTGTGGATTTGAAATTCACCTTTTAATTTTACTACATTTGCCAGAGGACCAACGGCCAGAAATAAGGGAAATTAGGGGTATGGCCTAAGGGTGAGACTCTTTCTTCTGGCCATTGGCAGTAGATGACGGTGCCCCAGAGCAGCAGCGGAACTGCTTCAGTCTCTCATGTTGATTGCTGCTGTCTGTTTGCCACGTTTAGTGTTATGGGTTTAGTGACCTTTTTGTTTTGCCAGTATCTATTGCAACGAAGTATATAAAAATGAATAGAACCCTGTGTCTTTCTGTGGTGGAGGGGAACAAAAATTTGATCACTAAGGAAGGCTACAGAGACGGAGGAAGTAAATATCAAATTCTCCAGTAGAAAGTGAGGATGTGAATCAGCAGCTGCATTGCAGAGAGAGATCTGGAGATCCCAGGGAACCACAGGCTAAATCTGAATCCTGGGTGGGATGAGTGTCAGGGAGAAAGTGCAGGAGTTTGTCTGCTTGAGGTGGCCTTGGTGGGACCTCAGCTGATAACGTGGAAGAGACACAGAAGGAGATGGTTCCCTGGCCACACACTGAGAGACTCCAGATAGTTGAGCTCCTTTTTCTTCTCCAGAGCAGCACAGGTGGGAATGGGGAAAAAATGAAAAATCTCCTTGACAGGCCTAAAAAGGTGCCTTTATTGCAGGGAGGGGGTTAGGTCTGCATGCTTTGAAATACAGTTTAGTCTCATTTGTTCTGCTTCTAAAACCTTTCCAGCCATCAGAAGGTCTCATCTGTTTCATGCTGCTAGTGACAGTTCCCATCTACATCACTCCCTGTGGAAGGAAGCAGTTTATATAAAATTCATAAACTATTTACACAAATTCTCTTTAGCATTGCTCAAGCTGAATGCAGGCCCCTGAACACTGTTAAGAGAATAAAAGCAGGTCACAATCCTGACCAGAGACATGCAGTCATGGATACACATAAATGGTGGGGTTTTTTATGATTTCAAATGTTTGCTCAAATGTACAATTTGACACTGAAGTAGGTCATACTGAATACTTTCCACTCTCTATAACATCCTCTTCCTTGCCATCTCCATTGCTCTGGCACTGCAATTGGTGACGTCGGAGTCTGAGGTGAAAGTACATCCATGCAGATCCGTTCTCCCCAGGCGTACTGTAAAACAGAAGCACTCCTCCACTCCAAACTGAATTATTTGTGTTAGCCCCTCCTATATCCCACCTGCAACTGGCTTCAAACCTGGCTTCAAACACTCTTTTAAGTAGATTTCCTCAGGTAATGGTGGCCAAGCATTTCAACCGTGGTGTACAGCTGCACGGCGGGGGGAAGACCCCCGCCTCAGGACAGCAGGCAGCTGCCAAGGGTGCATGCTTGAGTGGATTCCCTGTGAAATGGAAATGGGAAAACACCTTACCATCCTAGGGGAGCAGGAAGAAAAGAGCACCTGAGCAAGCTCCACTGCTCAGATGTAGTTGAGAAGTAGAAACTAAGACAGAGAAGGAGATCAGCGAGAAAATGTAGAGCTGTCACTGCTGTCCCGGGAGAATGAACATAATTCACAGGTCAGGAAACACTAATTCCCTTTATATTTTGATTTCTATACCAATGCGCCAAGAAAGAGCCCTGTGCTGCATGACATTTCACAGGGCCAGATTTTCCACTGGTATAAAATTATACAAATTAATATGTATCAGTGGATAATCTAGCCTGGTGTCCTTGCTTTTTTGGAGACCTACTAGAAGTTTAAGTGATATAAAGCAAATACAATTCTTCCATTGATTCATTTTAACATAATATGACATGCTCTGAGACTCAGAATTTCATGACAAACGAAGGTACGTGTTAATTTTCAGACACCCTGGTTCCACCAGGAAAGGAGGAGAGGAAGGAGAAGGAGGAAAAGCGTGAAAAGCAAATTCATATCCGCGATTTATGTGGAACAGGTGAGGAGCTCCCAGCTATTTCTGACATACAGCCTACCTCAGTAAAGGTTGTGCAAAACACAGCGAACGGTTACCAAGAGGGGTGAAAGTCCCTGGGCCACCAGCTGCAACACGAAGCTTCTCCATCTGTCTCCAGCCTTCCAAGTGCACATTCCCCTGTCAGCCCGCAGACGCCCAAGACAAAGGCTGGCACAAACTTCCTTCCATCCAAAGGGAGGAGAACGAGACCCCTCGGAATAGCTACAGGAACTGATACCTGCTGCAGGGAACAGTCCCAAACTCCTAGCTAGTCTGGATCTATGGAGACAGCTCATGTTAGTGACACGGGACCGTCCACAAGGCTCTGCCCAGCCTCGCAGGACTTCACGGAAATAGTGTCTTCTGCAGGGCTGGTGGCAGACAGCACTGTCCATCACACGGGTCATCCCAGCAAGAGCTGCTTGGGAGGCTGCCATTGCCAAAGCTGTGGAATCAACCCAACAGTGGTTTGTGGCATCCCGCTGCTCGCCTGTCGCTGGCAGCCACCCAAGCCTGGCGTGCTCACAGGGCGACTGCTGAAAGAAAACCACTCCAAGAAAAGAGCATGAAAGAACCATCAGCTTCTTCGTTCTTCTCCTGTATCCTTCTTGCCCTGGCTGACTTCATGACCTGAGCTGCATTTACATCTCTTTACATACGCGGAGCGCTCTAACAAGAACCATAGCACTCCCCTGCTCTGGAGGACAGCACAACCCAGCTGTGACCGGGGCGTTGGTCAATTTATGGAAGCAGGACATGAGGAGGTGAAGGGAGGGGAACGAGGAGCTATCCTTTCTGTCCCAAGTCCTTGAATTTCAGCACAGGCTGGCCATAACCTACAGTGTGCAGCAGAAAGGAAAAAAAAAAAGAAAAAAAAAAAAAGAAAAAAAAAAAGAAAAAAAAAAGAAAAAAAAAGAAAAAGAAAAAAAATAAAAAAAAAAGAAAAAAGGAAAAAGGAAAAAGCTTATCACATCAGTGCAGAAAAAAAAAATAAATGAGATAACAGCCAGAAATTCAGGGCACATAGTTCAAGATACTGATGTGATTCATCCTCAAAGAATGCCAGAGAAAACTGCCGATTCAGAGGAGAGACACGGTGCCTGCACCAGGGGAGACCCTTGTTTCACAGGCTTTGGGAGATGGTTGTTGGGGGACGTTAAACGTGAATGTAGCAAAGCTGCAGTGAGGTTCAGGTGCAGCCGTGCCTCCAGCTGAAAGGGTTCCAGTGGAGTAAAGCGCTGCGTGATGCCTCCTTGCACCGCGGAGCAGAAAGGGGTGTAAGTTCCTTGGCTTTTCACACAGCCCGTCATTACCGAGCAGCGAGGTCAAAGGTATGTTTGCTGCTGAATGCTGGTTATTGTCTGGAGATTCACACCGACACCGTGGTACGACCTTCCTTGGCATGGGAACGCCACTGTGGCTGAGGCCACCACCTCGCGGTGTCCTGCAGATGACTACTGGCCTTGAGCAGCTTGGGAGAAGTGAAGGGGGCTCCTTCAGGTTGTCCTGTGTCCCAGCCTCAGCCAGCCCTGTTCTCTGGCAGCGCCCAAAGAAACTGCAGGAGCAAATATTTCCCGTGTGAGTGCCACTTGGTGAGCGGGAATTAGATCAGAGAATCAAAATATCTCACATTGAGTTAAATTATGCATGGAGGCCCTCTCAGCCACATGGGTGATGACAGCTGAGTGTCCCCCGCGCCGCTGCCCATTGTTTGTTCCTGGGTTGTTTGCACAAAAGCAATACGTGGAATGCTGAAAACCTGTCTATACCCCAATAATGAGATATTTGATTAATGAGTCATCCGATATATATAATTGTACAGTATCTAGTAACAGAAAAGTCTGGTAGCTATTCACAAGTCTCGTTTCCTGAGAAAGAAAAGGTATATTGTTTCAGTGAGTAACCTGTGGAGAGAATCTGGGATAAGATTACTATCGTATCAGTACGCTTAAGAAACACAGCCTCTGAGGGGATACATTATACTGTTATAAAACACCCTTTGGTACGTTTTCACCACGCAGGGGTGATGTACTCCATGGGCTACCTGATAGCTACGGCGTGAGGGTGGCTTGTCCCCTTCCACCTCTCAGTTTGGGAGAGATCTGGCGAGAGAGCAGCGGGCTGGCCGCTCAGCTGCTCATCTTCCCCAGGAGTGGGGAGAGGCTGGGACCTCTGGCTTTGGGGCAGCCTGAGACCAGAGGAAGAAGAATGAGCCAGCTGAAGCGAGCTGTGGTGCCTCCACCAGCAGCAAGCTATTGCAGTGGTGTGGAGTGGAGGCAGGCAGAGAGCAGGGGTGTGATGGTCTCAAACACCATTCCCCACCTGTCCCGTGGGGTCCCCGTGCCCACTGTGTCAGGGCAGAGTTTTGCAGGGCCTCTCCTGGTAGCTGGTGTGAACATTTCAGTGGGCCCCAAGGGCTGCCTTCATCAAACCACGCAGGGTATTTGAGTCGCTGGGACCAGATTTTCTGCCACACTTGTATACAGCCGTGGTGGAGCCATCTTACCTTGAGCGGCAGCATCAAGCCTGGGATGCAACAAAATAGGTGATAGAAGTTTTCTTCCTGTTTGAGTTACCCCATAGATCATACACGCAATTATGTACATCACATTAGCAGGTTGCTCTTCCCTGCAGATATGTTTAGACACTTTTTTTTTTTTTTTTTTTCATCCAGACAGAAGCTTGGAATTTAAGAAAAGCAGGTGGAGCCCGGGGAGGGGTGCATCATGCCGTACCTCAGCATCCATCCCACTTCAAGCAGCACTCTCCTTTCTTTGAAAAGAGGCATGCCCACCTCAGGTGCTGCCCTGGGCAGGCCTGGCCCTGCCATCAGCCCCATGCCACGGGCTTAGCCAAGACCGAGAGTGATTTATAGGGGTAACACTCAGATTTGGAGGGACCACAAGTCGGTCTAACCTCACCAGCTTTCTGGCGGCCACAGCATCCCCCCGGGGATGGTGTCTGTGGGCATCTGGCCCTGCTCTGGCAGCCCTCCCTCCCGCCCTGCTGCTGGGTGGGAGGTTTCCACGGGCACCCACCTTCCCGTGAGCATCCTCCACGGGCGGGGGCGGGGAAGGGAGGCGAGGAGAGGAGAGCATCCCTGGCACCACGCCGGCTCCCCCCCGCTTACAGCCCGGAGAGCAGCGGGGGAGGCCGGGGATAGAGTGCGGGAGGCGGAGGGAGCGGCGGGGCGGCTCCCTGCCGCGGCACGGCGGACACGCGTGGGGCCATGGCCGAGGGCAGCCGCTTCGGCTACATCTTGGACCTGTTGAAGCGGGAGAAGGTAGGGGCGGCGGGGCCGGGGACACGACGGTGCGGGGACCGCCGGGGCTGCCGGCGGGGGTCGGCGGGGCTGCGGTGCGGCATCCCCGGGACAGCCGTGCGGGATGCGCCTGGAGGGGAGGCTCGGCCCCCTCCTCCTATTTTATGGATTTATTTTTTTTGGGGGGATGGAGTGGTGGAACTTGTCTTTAGAGCTGATGGACTCTGGAGGCTCGCCTACTATTTGCCGCACGCCCCCGCGGCTGTCGAATGAAAAAGTTAAGAAAACAGTAATAATAAAAGAATTAGAAGGGAAAGCGACGCTCGGGCCGGCGCGGTTAGGCAGGTGGCATTTTTGCTGCATGTTGTCCGTCGGCTCACCTGTGGATGCGGGGGCGCTTAGCCCACCGCCCGCGGCATCCTCCGGCGGGGGCTCCTCCGGCTCCCTGCGTGGGTAACGCCGTAGTGAAAAGTGCCGCCCCCAGGAAATGATTCAGAGTTTCAGAATATTTTGAGGGGAAACTAGTTATGTGCGTTTCGTAGGAAAAAAAAAAAAAAAAAAAAAAAAAAAAAAAAAAGGGGTGTGTGGTGTGTGGAGGAATCCAAATCCAAATACCTGTATTTTTGAGCTGTGTATCACATATAAAAAACAGGGAGCACTTCTTCTGCCCCACTCCCCCCCGCCCCCCCGCCAGCCTCTCCTGTGGTGGTTTTTAAAAAAAATAATGAAGTAGTCTCGGTATTTTTAAACTTAAAAAACAAGTGTGGCAAACAATGGTGTTATTTGAAAGGCTATTGGTTCTTGAAAACTTCCTGAAGACCATCGAGCTTATCTCCAGAGGCTGCCTTCACACTCTATTTTTTGTGTCTAGTCTTCCCCCGCCTCCCCCACTCCCTCTTCTAAAAGTCGTGGATGAACCTCTAGAGTGGGTGACAGCGGAGTTTCCTGGGTGATTTTCTGCTTTTCCTTGCCTGGGATTAGCCATGCCAGGCGCTCCAAAGGAAAATTCAGATGGCCAATTCTTGTTCCTGTCCATTGTATGCAATACACAAAATCACTAAGGGTTCCAAGCAAGAAACAAACTCCTTCTGCCTGTAATTTCTGTGGTTTCCCTGTAAGGGGGTGATACGTCTGTCCCTTCTGTCACAGTTAGCAGTCTGTGCTGGTAGCTTGAATCAAACACCCTCTGCAAGAGCATATGCTTCAGTAGACAGCCGAGTTAGCACATTGGTGTGAAATATACATGTTTATTACAAACAGTGCTGTTCTTTATACGTAGAGTGTCACATTGCCAATTCCCATCCTCAGAGACACTTGATGTGTCTGGAGAAACGAGGAGCAGCAGCAGTTGTCTGACCTTCACAGACTTTCCATCCTGGCGGCCACTGCTTGAGGCTCTCCAAGGGCCAGCTCTGAGACCTCTCGCTCTCCACGTTTTCCTTTTGCATTTCTTTACCGCTGGAGAGGGGGTTTTAGATTACAGCCCCTTTGTAATTTATTGATGTTATCCAGGATTCTGCTGGGATAATTAAGCTTCTTTCTCAGGTGACATAAATCATGCCAGCAAAAGGAGTCTTTATGCATGGCACACTGTACTTGCTCAGAGGAAGGGTATTACAGCTTAGAGGTGCCAGCACGCCAGTTTTCCCTTTTCTCTTCACTTTCCCCCCACCCCCCTCCCCATAAAGCTTTTGCACCAAAGCCTGAGAGCATTAACATGCTCTGAATTAACTGCTAAGCATCTGGCTTTCACTGGACAAAGAACTATTAGAGGAACAGGAGGTAGTAACACTGGCACACTCACCTCTCCCTTGTCTGGGGTCCCAACAGGTACCCTACCTTGGCTCTTAGACCCTGGGCACGTGGCATCTTTTGGCACTCATGCCATATTGCCCCTTATATTGCAGTCTGTCAGTCCTCTCCAGCAGGGCAAATCATTATATATTGCTTTTCCCTGGGGGAATGTCACTTCAAAAACCTGTTATCTCTTTTAATGATTTGTATTAATTACTCCCCTGTGACTCTTGTTTCGCACACACAACTGGCACGTTGTACCTGGAACAGAAAGATGCGTGTAACGCTTTTAGCCCCAATAAGCCAGTCCTTGTGTAATCCTTATATCCATAACATATGTTTAGGCTCACTACAATACTCTGTGAGATATTCTAGGCCTCCAAGGCACCTGTCACAAACGTCACAGCAGCATCTGAGCACTCCAAAATACCCCTGTGAGATAGATTAACAATTAACTGCATTTTGTGGCAGAGGCACTGAGGCAGAAGGAGATTGTATGACCTTCTTTCAGGACTCTGAAATCCCAGTTAAAATCACAGCAAGGACAGACACTCAGCTGTCGAAAAATGACATAGTATTCCAGAAGTGATATATGGCTTCTTTTTTTTCCCCTCTTTCCACTGCCTGTAACTTTCCTTTTGGAGAAGACAAACCCATGAATATCCCTATAGTTCTTTACCCTCGTTCCATTGTTTTACTTGCATAGTTGTGTATTTTCTTCATTGGAATGCATCTACTTCTTTTGTAGTATTAATTTCAAAGAATTTTTTAGAAAATTCTATAAAGAAATAATTGTGTCTGTGGGGTAACTGATACCAATACTTGTCATCCACTTTGCAGAACCATTTTCAGGCATTTTCCTGTAAATGGAATAAAATCAATAAATTGATATAAACCAATGTGAATTTCAGAGAGAGGCAAGCAGCACTGACACTGCCCATGTGCACTAGCTGCTGATTTTGCTGAAGGAAGGATTTGGCATACCCAATTTTTTTAAGCAAATCCCTAGTCCTTTATGGTTTTTCCCCTCACTCGTTTGCTTTGTTTTACCATCTATTCCTACCCTCAGTGTGGTTTGCAGAAACTGACAGTTTGTGATTCATAAGGAACCGCTTTAAAAACATCAAGTCAGAAAAAGCATTTAGAGAAATAGATATTACTATAACCAAGCCCCGTGTGAAGTGAACATAAGAAATGTATAGAAATAATTTTAAGAGCATTTTAAACTCTGCATGCTCTCCCCCTGGACCCTACAGGTGACACTGATTTCTTTCCCTCCCTTCTGCCTGGTTTCATGTAGTGACCAATGCACAATTCTCTTGTGGTGGCATTTCAGCTTTTCTCCAGACGAGAGTAAGGGATAGAGCTACATGGGGGTACAAAAACTGAATTGCATGAGGAACTGGAGAGAGGAAATACAGAAAAGTCTACTAGTGGTTGTGGGGGTTGGTGGGTTGCTCTGGGCTGCCTGACTCAGCTGAACTGAAGTTCTGCTCCTCACCTTTCAGAAGATAAAGCTTTACATACTTCTTGCTTCTGTGCAGGAAAGCGCTTGTTTGGGGTTTGGGTCCTTATGAGGAGAATAGCCCTCTATTTTAACAGCAATTGTCATTTGTTTACAGATATCCAGAAGCGCGCCCAGATTATGTCTATGTTGTGAGAGGTTTTTGCCGAAGGTGACTTGGGTTAAAAGAGCATGTAAAGATAACTTGGGAGTTCAATTTCAGATAGCAGCTTAGGGCAGATACTGCGGAGGAGGCTGAGTTTGAAATCCAGCCACTACAGAGGGGTTAAAATTCAATTTGCCTGTCTTCACAGCTTTTAACCTGAGCTACTTGACTGGTTTAGTCAGCCTGTGTGACAAAGGTGTGTTTCCACAGCTTAGGCATGTCCTCATCGCTCCAGCAGTGGCTTCTCTGATCACGGGATGTGACATGGCAAGGGCAAGGTGCCAGCCTGGCCCTTGGTGGCAGGTGTGGTTACCATCAGAAGTGCAGGAGAGAAGGCAGCGGCACAGAACAGCAATTCCCAATGTGCTACGCGTGTATTCTTCATATTTCACGGATTCATGGATTTGACAGAGTTGGAAGGGACCTCTAGCGATCATCTAGTCCAACTCCCCTGCTAAGCAGGATTGCCTAGAGCACATTACTCAGCCTGCATCCAGGTGGGTCTTGAAGATCTCCAGAGAAGGGGACTCCATGACCTCCCTGGGCAGCCTGTTCCAGGGCTCTGTCACCCTCACCGTAAAGAAGTTCTTCCTCATATTTGAAAGGAACTTCCTATGTTCCAGCTTGTGCCTGTTGCCCCTGGTCCTGTCGCTGGAAACCACTGAAAAGAGCCCGGCTCCATCATCCTTCAACCCACCCTTTAGGTACTTGTAAACATAGATAAGGTCTCCCCTCAGCCTTCTCTTCTCCAGGCTAAAGAGTCCCAGCTCTTTGAGCCTTTCCTCATAAGGGAGGTTCTCCAATCCCTTAATCATCTTCCTTGCCCTTTGCTGGACTCTTTCCAGTAGTTCCCTGTCCCTCTTGAACTGGGGAGCCCAGAACTGGATGCAGTATTCCAGTTGTGGCCTCACCAGTGCAGAGTAGAGGGGGAGAATGACCTCCCTCGACCTGCTGGCCACACTTCTCCGTGTGCAGCCCAGGATCCCATTGGCCCTCTTGGCGACAAGGGCACATTGCTGGCTCATGGAGAGCCTGCCATCCACCAGGACCCCCAGATCCTTTTCCCAGTAGTACTTCCCAGAAGATGCACGCCTAACCTATATTGGTGCCTAGGATTCTTCCTCTCCAGGTGCAGGACCTTACATTTGCTCCTGTTGAATCTCATCAGACTCTTCTCTGCCCAGCTCTTCAGCCTGTCCAGATCACGCTGGATGGCGGGGTTTCGTGCCATATCTTTATGATGTCAGAAACTGAGGTTGTGGCTGGGCTTCCTGAAAATTTGATTTAGTTTTTTTTAAATTTAAACCTTTTATATTCCAAATGATTTTAAAAATAACCACTACCTTTCATTTCTGCTAAACAGTGATAATTTGTTTACAGGTATGATTCTTTCCTCCTTCAGAGCTGGAGGGTGTTTTGGTTTGAATGTTACTTATTTTGGGGCAGCTTTTATCATTATAATTCTTTCATGTGCTTGCCAAGCGATTACGACGTGTGAGCAGAGTCCTGGGTGTGGACTGTTACCAAGAGCTGCTCTTTGGATCCCCTGCAACTGCAAGTGTCCAGGCATGAAGTAGAGATCTACACACGGGGCAGTAAGTGAAAAAGTAATGATACATTGAGCCAATTTATCACACTTCTGAGATGTGCTGGCTACAGATCCTCCCCAAAGCTGATTGCAGTCCCAATATTCTGGCAGTTCAATGAGCTTTGTCTTTACTGGCTCAGTGCTCTGTGCATAGCAGTGGCTGATGTGACCTTCAAAACTTGTTTGGTCCAAGTTTCCAAGCTGTTCTGTTATGGGATCTGTTAGGATGCCCATCGCACCATGAGGATTATGGGCCTGTAGCACATCTCTGCAGAGCAGACGAAGAAACCGAACCAAAGGATTAAGATTTGGCACTTTTTGTTTTATGACAAGAAATTCTCAAGTTGTCATTTTCATTTTGGAACACCCAAGGTCTGTAGGCCCTTGCTGTCTGTTCAGGGATATGGAATTGAAGGGTAGTCATCACGAAGACAAAGACGAGCCAGCGTTCCTGTGCCAAAACAGGCACGTTTCTCTCAGGAAGCATGAATTCCTGCCTTATTGCGGGGTGAACGATAGATCCTTCAGCCTGCCCGACTGAGAAAATCCCAGGGAGAACAGTGATCTTCAAGGTTCAACTTTTCAGGGCTAAGTAGAGGAGCAGATTCTATCACTGGCAGTTCACAGAGGGCGAGAGGCAGGCCCAAAGCCCAGTGTGTCCACCCTGGCAGAAAACACTCCCGTCGCAGAGGGAGAAGAGTGTCTCTGTGGTAACTCAGTCCCCAGGACAGTCACATTAGCATGGGAACAAATCCTGCTCTTCATCCCTGCGTACCCCCACCTCGGCTCTGCTCTGCCGGGAGCCTCGTGCCAGGCCAGTAGCAGCAGCTCAGTCCAAGGGGTGAAGACCACCAGGGGCTCAGGGCTCAGGTCCCAAAAGCAGTGTGAAAAATAATGTCTTGAAAAGCTTTGGTCTGAGGACCTGAAGCCAGGGGAGGTGCTGCCTGACCGTCCCCGAGTGCTTTGGGGCAGGGCTGTGTTGCTTCACATGATGGGACCCCAGCCGCTCTGTAAAACCAGCTGTGGGACCTTTATGGCTTGTCAAAAACCAGCGCCGCATCCTTCTTGGGATTGTACTGGTGGCTCATGCAAATGAGCACTTGGGAGACTGCTGCGCAACACTGATTAAATTAACACACACATCCAGCCTGAGGTAGGAGGGAAAATCGGGTGATGAACCCCCTCCTGCCCCCCCCTCCAGTGTCTGTCGTGTGCTGCTGTCCTGGCAACGCAAAACATGCCAGTAACAGACCCTGCCTGCTGAAGGGGGCAGGAGCAGGTCATGAAGGATGTGCTGAACTACCTTGGCACTTTCCAGGGATGAGCTGATGTAGGAGGAGTGCCTCATTAGCAGAACGGGTGTCCAATCCATGCACACATGTGGCTAGAAACAAAGCAGCAGGGTAGGTCTGACTTCCATGGCCACGCTGGTGTTACCAACCCCTTCTGCAGAGGCTAACAACAGGAGACTCTTCTGACAGTGGTTTGTGCTGCTCTTTCTAACATACCAGTGATTCCTGCTTTTGGGGTTTTTTTCCCTCCCAGTACCTTAAAGCTAATGCAGGTTTTGGCATTGCAAACACAGTCGCCCTAGCCTGAGGATGGACCAAAAGGCTAGTAAAAAAAGTGTGAGTGCAGAAGGGAGAATTTTGAACTTTGGAGGCCTTGGAGGACCTTGTCATCCATGTTAGACCTTTATGTGGTGGAGGAGGAGGAGGTGGTAATTAAAATCCTGCTCTAAAGTACCTCAAAGCCAGAGCAAACAGGCACACCAAGGTAATACCTTAATTATCTCAGGATTGAAGGAAGAGTCAGTCCCAGGTCCTGGCTGCAATGGTAGTTGGCACTGGTGGTGGGTCTGAAGGCTGTGGGAGGACAGGAGGGGGATGTGTGCTGCAGGTTTGTCCACATCAGGAACACGCACCTCTGCTGGCACCTACACCTCTGGCATGAAGTGCAGGACGGTTTGCCTCGCCGTGCCACCAGAGGCGAATTTTCTTCATGCTGCTTCAAAGGGAGCAGCAGAGCCAAAGGGGCTTTGTTCTGGTCCGCAGCTGATAGTTTATTTGGCCCCAAATCAACCACTACCGGTGTCAGCGATGGGCAGTGTGCTAACGTAGACAAGGGCTTATTAAGAGCTACATCCTCTAAAGTCTGTCTGTAACATCAGGAAATCTGGGGACAGTAGAGGTGGTTACGGGGTAAGACAGTTATTCAGATGTTTGCAAATCATTACTCAAAAGGTAGCTGGAAGGCGGACTACTCCTGTCCTTACCAACCCGTTCTAGGTTAAGTGGCACGTTTCAGTTTGAATACACATAATGTGCATTACTGGCATTGTCGGAAGCATCTCAAGCACAGTACTCTGTATTTTTATGAGGGTGGTTTCTAAAGTAAATGTGAAACAACATCCTTACATGTGTTCTCTAGAAAGTTTTTTGTAGTACCGGACAAGCAAAAACATCGCGTCTGTCTGCATGAGTTCTAAGTGTAATTTTCCATTCAAATTTCAGGTCCAGGCCACTGAAGCCCAGATATAAATAATGACCAAAACCCAAATATGACGTTTCACACGTATTTGTTTTATTGAAAAAAAACAACCCATAAACTGTTTATCCTGATGCTAGTCTTTTAAGTCGGTCAGATTTAGGGTTAGTCAAACTGACAGCATTTCATCATTCCTGTACCCCAGGCTCCATCTGTTTTAATTAACTAACCCCCCTTCCGTTGTGGAATGTGAGGACACTGAACGCTTTCACTCCCAGTTTCCTAACTAGTGATTTTTCTCCCTTGGCCTCATGCTGTATTAACTACAGGCAGCGTTGTGTCTCCACCCTTGCCAAAACCTGAAGAAGGTGGAGATTCAAAAGTGTTTTATTTTCTGTTTGTTTGTTCTGGCTGGTGGTGAAAAGGGGGTTTTGCTGCACCTTTTCCGATGGAAACACGTTGGGAAGTGTGTGGGGGGTGGGACAGGACAGGAGGTGGTGTGGACAAGCAGAACCACCTCCCCACCTCCTTTTCACCCTGTCTGCCCCAAAAGCCGCCTGCTGCCCCCTTATAATGCCCCCCCTTTCCCGTGCCCAGCGTATCGGGATGTCCTCCTCTCCAGGGACAGACACACAGACACACCTGTGTGACCCCTCTGTCACCAGGGGAGGTTAGTAATGGGGGGGTGTGGGGGGGGCGTGGAGTGGGCAAATTACCGAATAGCCCCCACGACCCCCGCCCCCTGGGGGGCTGGGCGACCTTTCCGCTTGGTGAAAACAAACCAACAGGTGAATAGAAATTAAAATAAATTTTAAAAAGCGCGCCGGTTTTCCCTTGGGGGCCGGGGCGGTGCGGGCTGCCGGGGGG